GCCATTCTTGGCCACCTTGTCACAGAACCCGGAGGCCGGAGAAGCTGGAGCGAATGTCGCTGTTCCAGCCGCGACTGCTGGTGGTCGGCACGGCGGCCGCCGCCGTCGCACTGCCCGGTCAGTTCGTCGGCAGGTTCACCACGCCGGCCGAGCTGAGCGAGTCGTTCAACGTGGTGGCGTTGCAGCCGCTGAAGCCGCTGCTGATGCACCATTTGCTCCGACAGCCCGACTGGCGACGCTCGTTCGTGTTGGTCAACTGGAACGAGGTGGCGCACCAGCTGGAGCTACTGCTGTCTGTGCTGGGCGCGCGCGTGACTGAGTTCTGTGGGGTAGTGCCGGCGTGCCGGCGGCGGCGCGCGCTAGCTGAGATGGCCGCGCTGGTGTGCTCGAGGCTATAGCGCGCGGTATTGACGTGGACGCCGTGGACGCGGTCGTGTCGTACGACATCCCGGCGCTGTTGAAGACGTACACTGCGTGCGTCGGACGGCGCGCATCCGCCGGGCCGGCCAGGCGGTCAAGCTAATGTTGGAGCTGCAGCGCAGCAATTTCCAGCGGCTGATGGTGCAGGCGGGCGGCCGGGTGCGGGAGACGCTGGCGCTGCTGGACGAGCTACGAGCTGCGCCAGTACGAGGCGACCTACGTCAGTGCATTTCCACACTAGCTTCTAGTGGATCGCTGTTGTTTTTTATGCTCATTGCTCATGATTTATTTACATTTTAGAAATATTACAATGAAATAGATGTATGCCTTGTCATCAGCCTAGAAAACTTAAAGTAAGTAAAGCGTTTTAGTTGCATAATGTATGTTTGTTCATGAACATGGATTTAACATGTCCTAACTCCCAAACATTTCTATATTAGACCCGAGTTACAAACCAATCGAAAGGCTTAGACGATCATTTGGGGCGTAGCCAGCAGACATGTGCATGGATCCGAGTGATGGATCTATGATCTCAGTGGATCTCGAGGCAAATTGCAGGTTTGGATCTATGATCCCACCGAATCTGGCGTGAAAATTTTATCCTGGATCTATGATCTCACAGGATCTGACGATAAACCAAGAACATGGATCTATGATCTGAGTGGATCCCACCATGCACAGCATTTGAAACCAGGTTTCCAAGTGCTTCTATGTCAATAAGTGCCTTAAAACTATGGATTATGACGTGCTATCACCTAAACTCACTAAATACGAACGTTTGTGAGTTGCAACGAGTGATTTTTTTGGGATTTCTGTGTTGACCAAAAATAAATGAGGATCTATGATCTCACTGGATCTCAAGCGAAAATACTAGACTCGGATCTATGATCCCTACGGATCTCTCGATAAATTAAAGAGCTGGATCTATGATCCCGACGGATCCGAGATCAGGATCCGTGGGATCAGATCTCAGATCCATTTTCTCGGATCCATGCACATGTCTGGTAGCCAGACGGCTCGGCTGGGTGTGAAAGCCGGCGACCAAGGTGGTGACCACCCGATCATAATGCACAGCGGTCTCCGTCGGACGATTGTGTCTGCGCGCAACGAATGATCTGGGCACACGCAGAGGAGTTCGGCAGGACTCTCCACTGAGCGGTACTGGGCGCAGTCGAACGACGGTCGACGACGCTAGCGCAGGTATTGTTAATTTGTTACGACTTACGAGCCGGACCAGTGTAGCGGGCCCGGAGCAAATATTCTTTGCTGTGTGGCGTTCCTTCTTCTCGACCGGGCCCGGCAAACGGGGCCTGCATTATGCATATCGGCTAAAACCACCTAGCCGGGCAGTCTTATCTCCACCTCGCCGAAGCGGAGCGAACGACGTACCCTCAGCCCTGCAATGACCGCGGTGCAGCAGTTAATCTGGGTAGGTATTTTCCTAAGGTAAGACACTCGCCTTTGCACAATGCTTTACATATATACTAGGCCTTGGCGAGTTCGTTAGCCCTCTTACTCCCGCTAGAAGGTGCTAATGCAGTGCACGCGAATCCGCCTCGTAGCACCGCACTTCAACTTCAATCGCTCGGCAGCGGAACTGTCCGTCGTCCGTCCAGCTTCAGGTGGCGTCTCTGGGAGCAATGCTGACCGCTTATTTGCCGCTCTTTTGAAAGCTAGGAAAGAGGTGCGGCTCCCGGATCTGTCGGGAGCGGGACTCATAGGCGGCGGAACGGGTAGGGCACCGGGGCACCGTGCCCCCTTTGATTTTGACATTTTAATATTAGCCCTATGGGCGTTGCATGGAAAGAATGGGACCAAAAGTCGGCAGTGCCCCCTTAATTGAAGGTGTTCCGCTGCCACTGGAGTGGGTCTCATCTAGTCCCCTCCTCATAGCTGGAGGTCCACACATTGCGTTCTCGGTCTACACGATGATTTTCTACAAGGTGCGACTAAAAACAGACAAAAAGGTACATAACAAGTTGAAGGTATTGTAAAAATTAATATAATAGGCTGACAGGAAAAAAGATCCATCTTAAATTTGTATTAAATGCAAGCTTCCTTACGTCACCTTTATGAATGACATGCCTACGCTTACAATTTGGTAGTTTTGTATTGTATTGGCTTTTGCTGGGCACCAGAATGTTAATATAGATAGGAAAGTTTATAATGCTCTACTTTGCTGTTATTACTCTTGAAAATAATGTAATAATTTAAGATTATAATATTTCGAAATTTATATAGCATTTGCAATAGAAAACACGCTTAAATTTGATTGAAACATGCTTTAAATGATTTATTAACCTCCTTGACATATCGTAATTTGATATCGTAATAGAATATCAGCTGACTACCGGCGACAAATAATTTCCGTCCGAAGTCGGCTGGAATTTTTTGTTGGTGAAACTCGTGGCTGTGTGGCGTCTATTTTTTCGGCTGGATATTTTATTTCGGCGGCCGGCTGGTATTTTTTGGTAAAACTGGCGTACAATGTTCTGTGTGTACTGTGTGTTGACTGGTGATAACATTTCTTTAAGCTCACTAACGTCAATCCGATTTTGTTCCGTTTCTCTTTTTCTTGCGCTTCTCTCTTCCTCTTTTCTTTTTCTCTTTCTCCATTTCTTTCTCCATTTCTTTCTCTCATTTACTCTCTCGTTCTCTCTCGTTCTCTTTCTGTCTGTCTGTCTGTCTGTCTGTCTGTCTGTATGTATGTCTGTCTCCCTCTTTCTCTATCTCTATCTCTATCTCTCTCTCTCTCTCTCTCTCTCTCTCTCTCTCTCTCTCTCTCTCTCTCTCTCTCTCTCTCTCTCTCTCTCTCTCTCACTCTGTCTCTCTCTCTCTCTCTCTCTCTCTCTCTCTCTCTCTCTCTCTCTCTCTCTCTCTCTCTCTCTCTCTCTCTCTCTCTCTCTCTCTCCCTCAATCCCGCCCTCCCTCTCTCTATGTCTCCCTCCCTCCCTCCCTCCCTCTCTCTCTCTCTCATCCCTCCCATCCCCCATGCTCTCTCCCTCTTCTAGAAAGTCCAACAAACTTCGGAATTTCCTCACGCTATTTGCTATGCAGTGCCATTACTACAGTTGACACCTCGCTAATAAACGCTGCAGTCCGCCCACCTCCCGTGCCCTAATGTTGAGCTATGCTGAGCTAAATTTGTAGTTGACTACCATATGTTGAGCAGTGAGCAGCTGAGCTAACTAGGTTGAGTGTTGACGTCTGCGCTCCGTTGCCGAGAGTCGGCTGTCGCTGTCTGTCACGGGGCACGGGGCTGGGACTTTGATCTCTAGGGTTCGGTGACGCTCGTTCAGCTGGTTGTTTACACTCCTCCCCCACTCTCTCCCTCCCCCGAGCTACCCTCCTTCTTCCCTCTCTCCCCCGGGCTTCAGTCCCCTCGTCCCCTCCCCTTCCTCCATCGCATGACTGTATCAGCTGACATTAGGGCCTATCGGCTGAAACATTATTTACTTCCGTCTTAGTGCTAAGCGCGCCGGGGCGCAAAATAACCACTTCAGCAGGCAAGCCCCGAAGCCAGGTGCTGAAACATGAATGGTAGAATAAGATGGCGCTTGATCATAAAAATTACTCCCTGATCAGTAAGTGATTATGATAAAAACAACAACATTCAGCAGGTATAGGTGGCGGACACAACAGGTGCCTCTACCAGTGGCCAGTACCTGGATTATATAACAAATGGTCTTACCAGCAGCTCATTTAAAAGTTACCCAGCTGACCGTTGTTATCACTTTCAGTGGAATTCGGCGTAGTGTTTCACTGCGTAGAGCTACCGCTTAGCGCTTATATACTACGCCTTCCTTTACATTTCAAAGCCGTGCGGCTGATGCGCATTGCTGGTTTCACCTTCACCAATAGCCTCTCAGTCTCAGCACAATCCTTCCCTCAATCTTTCACTCAAGTCAATTCCAATGCCACCCCTAGTAGAAGTATTGTGAGCAGTCTACAGTAAATTCGGCGGGAAAAAAGACGGTACAGGTGTGTTCTATCACAGCGTTACAACCACCGGCATGTATACAGTCACACCCAGCACTTCCGGGGCTTTCAGGGAACACCTGTACCGATTGTAAGGACTGTGTGTCATCACCGTCTCGTCGATTTCTTATACGCGCCTGTTCTTGTTCATGCTGTATTTTGACAGAAAATAAATGTTTGCCCGGGTAGAAAGGTATGATATGGGTAGCAGACAGGTAAAGGACAAACGAATGAGACAAGCGGTTTCTGAAAACACACAAACGGCAGTGCACAGTCAGCACGAGCAAAACAATAGCACAAAGGGGGGAAAGCATGCTAGTTTTCATGCAAACCATAGCATAGCAGTAAGTGATCACGGTTGATGTTAATGACAATGGAGGCTTATCTTTGCCAGAGATATGACCGAAAGCAAACGACACCCAACAACACAAACATCACTCACCAGAAGTGTTTCCGATCTGACGGTGATGAAATCGCATGCAGCGCCAAGCAACATATGTACATCATAGCCCATAGGCGCATGCTACAGGCCACCATGCTTAGCAGACACAGACTGGGGTGCATGTACCTACCTTCAACGACAAGCATGCCACATTCAATACTCATCTGTAAACAAGGGAGAGAACACGTTACGACTGACTCGGTCATCACATTCCTCCCCCTCGTTTTCGCGTAGCGAACACAACTAAACCGAATACAATACTTCTATCTGAAGCACTCCAGCTCAACATCGCTCAACTGCATCTGCGTCAAATGTTGACAGCTGGGAAGCGGAGCACCCTTCAGTTCCTTGCCAACACAAAGTTCACAGCCAACACAAACGCAATGATGCACACGATAAGGCATCGCGCTATAGTCAGCTCCGCGACCGCTCGAAACTAGGTACAGTCCTTAGAGCTTACTAATCACCCCGTATCGAGCCACAACCTCGACACCACAGCTCAGGTGGCGTGCACGAGCCACCGTCGGCAAAAGTCACTCTCACGATGAACTTGTTCGCTGAATGTCGCCACTCTGAACGCACGCAACACTCTGTAAGTGTCCACTGTCGCAAGCGTTCTAAACGCGGGCGCCGCTGCCGCAGCGCGCCGCTCCGAGTCCAGCGACGGCAGGCCCCGCCGCGACAGCAAGCCGCAGTGCGACGGCAGCGCCCGCCGCGACAGTAGGCCGCGCCACGACCGCCGGTAGCACCCCGGCCGGAAGCACGGTCCCAATAGCAGATGCCGCCGCCCCAGATGACGACATCAGCGCCGCCCTCGGAGCCGCTCCAGCCGAAGACGACGCCACCATCGCCAGTCTCAGTCGTCGAAGGCGTGACAGGTGGGAATCGGGGCTGGGCAGTGATAGACGGATGAGGAAGCTCAGCCCGAGACACAGCACATTTCTGTACAGGACGAGGAAATTGGGCCTCTTACTCCCCATCACAACCTTCAACTTCCTCCAACACGCATATCTTGGTTACCGGGCGATGATAGATCGCTCCCGATGCCGTCTTCAGCTCAGCTGAACGAACCCTTCCATCTTCTCCCGTGTACACCTCAGTAACTCGCGCTAACGGCCAGAAACCTCTGGGAGCGCTCTCTTCAGCCATCAACACTACATCCCCAACTGTCACATTTCTCGTGTCCTCCTGCCACTTGCTCCGAGCCATCAGCGAAGGGAGATATTCGCGACGCCACCTGCGCCAGAAGTGGTCGGCTATAGTCTGTGCTTGCCTCCATCGCTTTCGACTGTTGACTTCCTTATCTTGAAATCTCCCTGGAGACAGGTTCGCGTTCGCGCAGCCCAGAAGCAAGTGGTTAGGTGTCAGCGGATCTAGATCCCGTCCATCGATGCTGATATATGTGAGTGGCCGACCGTTCAGCATCGACTCCACCTCAGTGAGCACAGTGTGGAGCACTTCATCTGTGAGGCAACTGTTCCCCACAACCATTTTCATAGCTCTTTTCACACTCCCCACTAACCTTTCCCAAACGCCTCCCATATGTGGAGCTCCAGGAGGGAGAAACCTCCATTCAATTCCTTTCTGGCTGAGCTCATCTGTGATCCTCGATTGGTTCAGCTCTGCTAATGATTCTCTGAGCTCCCGCTCTCCCCCGACAAAGTTGGTCCCGTTGTCAGATAGTAGCAGCTTTGGCTTGCCGCGACGAGCGATGAATCGTCGCAGGGCGAGCAGAAAACTGTCTGTGTCTAGACTGTGAGCTAGTTCTAAATGCACAGCCCTTGTTGCACAGCATGTGAACAACACGCCATACCGCTTCTCTATCTTCCGAAGCCTCTTCACTTCCATGGGACCAAAGTAATCTATCCCGACAGTGTTGAATGCTCGTGTTTCATCGAACCGACTGGCTGGAAGGTCGGCCATTCTCGGGATTCGCGGACCACAGCGTCTGCGCTTACACTGTTGGCACTTGTGGATCACGTGCTTCACCAGCGACCTTCCTCGACACGGCCAGTAGTGTTGTCGGACTTCCGTGAGGGTGCGCTCCATTCCAGAGTGGAACACTTGCTGATGAGCGTCCGCTATAATCAGATGTGTCACTTGGTCTTCTGATGCCAAGAGCGCCGGATGTCGGCTAGCGAACGGCAGAGGGGCGTTGCCTAGTCGCCCGCCGACACGAAGAATGCCCGCATTGTCGAGGAACGGCGACAAGTTCCTGATCCGACTCGATCGGTGCACCAGACTTCCTGCGCTCAGACTCCGAATCTCATGTTCGAAATGTCTGTTCTGTGCTTTACGCACGATGACCCCTTCCGCCGTCTCCAGTTCAGCAGCAGACAGAGGCCCCGTCATGAGCTGCTGGTTCCCGGCCTCTCGCCTCAACTGGAGATTTCGGATGAATCGAATCATCCAGGCGACCACTCTTTTGTACCTCAACCACGAAGAGAAGTTCGCTGGATCCGGAAGGAACTCTCCTGAAGCACTACTGGCGCTAGTAGCACCGACGGTCCGCACTTCCGGATCCGAAGAGTTCAGGATATCTACAGCGCTTTGAGTTGGCCACTCATCCTCCTCTTCACGCAGAAAATCAGGACCTTTGAGCCAGCTTGGCTCTGTCAGCAGCTCCTCCAATGACTTCCCACGGGAGCAAGCGTCGGCGGGGTTCAAATGGGTTGGCACTTTCTTCCACTGATTTGGATCAGAGGATTCCCGAATCTCCGCGATCCTGTTAGCCACAAAAGTGTGGAAGCGCCGGCTCTCGTTGTTCAGATACTTCAGGACAACGACGCTGTCACTCCAAAACACAGTCCGATGTATCTGGTAAGTCAGTTCCTTCACGATGGCTTCTGATAGTCGGGCAGCCATCACCGCTGCCTGGAGTTCGAGGCGGACAATTGAAAGCTGCTTCAAAGGCGCGACTCGTGTCTTCGCTGCAATGAAGCCGACGTTGATCCCGCCAAGCTGCACTGATCTGAGGAACGCCACCGCTCCAAAGGCCGACTCCGACGCATCACAGAATATATGCATCTCGTACCTCCGCTCATCGTCTTCTAGGTTCGGATGCAAACATCTCGGTACAACCACGTCACTCAAACGAGGCAATTCGGCCACCCATGCGCGCCAAATGCGCATCTCATGCTCATTCAGTTGCTCATCCCACCCGAGACCCTGCGCCCAGAGTCTCTGCACGAGTAGTTTCGCTTGCAGTGAGTACGGTGCCACAAGACCCATGGGATCGAACAGACGGGCAACGATAGCAACAACGCGCCGCTTCGTGATGTGCTGTGAGGTTTCCACTTCAACACATCGAACACCCAGAGTATCCTCGACCGAATTCCACGGGCATCCGAGTACGTTCTCCGTCGGTCCATCCATACCCGCTCTCTCTTCCTCTGGGACGTCGAGGACGACTTCCTCCGAGTTGCTTCGCCACTTTGTGAGCCTAAACCCACCTCTCGATACCAGCTTCGTTACTTCGCTTCTCAGTGCTATTGCGTCTGCGACTGTCTTCTCTGTTCTCAGTAGGTCGTCCATGTAGACGTTACGCTGGACGGCCGTCGCTGCCTTTCGGGAAATGACTGTATCTTCCTGGTGATCCATGGCTGTCTTACACAAGACGTAGTTGGCTGAAGCTGGGCTACACCGAGCTCCGAAGATCGTCACCGTCATGTTGTAGGCATCTGGAGGTTTCGTGAGATCCAGATTTCTCCAAAAGAAGCTCAGAGCAGGCTGATCGTCGGGAATCACACGTACCTGATGATACATCTTTTCAATATCACCAACGATCGCCACGGCCTCCTCTCGGAAGCGTAACAGTACTCCCGGTAGGCTGAGCAGCATATCGGGGCCCACCAAGAGTTCGCTGTTGAGAGACGTGCCTTGGGAGGAAGCAGCAGCATCGAACACCAGTCTGAGCTTTCCCGGCTTATGAGGGTTGGTAACTCCATGATGGGGCAGATACCATCGCCTCGGATGATACTTCAGTAGCTCTTCTTCAGGGAGTCTTCTGGCAAACCCCTGATCCAGATATCCGTCTATGATCTTCTGATACTTGTCTGCTTTCTCCGGCTGACGAAGTAGCCCTTTCTCCAGCTGTTGCAACCGGCGGAGAGCCAT